AAACATATTATTGTTTGCATATTGACGAACGATATATCGGTCAAATCGAATGTATATATATATCGATCATATCTTTATTGAATCAGATTAGAATAAATATGGAACATTTCAATATTACATTAAATGATTTACCTGATGAAATTCTTCTCATTATTTTGAAGAACTTGAAAAGTTTTGATATACATTTTTCTTTACAAGGTGTTAACCAACGACTAAATCAAATTATTCAAGAAGAAATTTTTACAAATCGTTTAAGCTTTATTAAACGATCTTCAGATAATTTTATTGATCGACTTTCTGATAAAACAATACTTGATCGATTTTGTTTACAAATTTTACCTTCAATTCATTATAAAATTCAATATTTGGCTCTTGGATCAACATCTATGAAAAGTGTTTTACAAGCTAATTATTATCCTAATTTATATTCTCTTGCATTATTTAATGTTGATAAAAAATCATTCAAAAGTCTTTTGAAAAGTAAAAATATTCTAATTAATGTTTGAAAGATTTTCATTGTTTTTGTATATTTAGATAAAATCCTTTCAACTGGAATATTTAGAACTCAAATCACAACACTTAATCTTTCATTTGATCAATGTGAAAATTTTTTTGACATGTTCTCATCAATAGCAAACATATTTCAACGTATTTTTCCTACGTTTTCGAAATTAAAGTATCTAATATTGGATAGTCGATGGTATTACAATTGTGTTCGACTAAATTCCGATGAGTCTTCATTTATTCATAATTTTCGTTCATCGACTCTGTTATATTTGGATATTAAAGTACAATCTTATAATGATTGTCTGTATATTCTCGATGGTCGCTTCAATCAACTTCATACACTCATTATTGATGTAGTTAATCCTTTTGATACATACGACGTTCAAAATCGAGTTTGTTTTTTATGAGAAATCTTAATTATTTAAAACAATTTGTGTTTCTTTCTAGGACAATTTACCAAATCTAAAACATTTTTCTTTTACATGCAACTACGAGACATATTTCTATAATGAAACAATTCCTCCGCTTCTCAATCGAATGTCGAATCTTGAACGACTTGGCTTATATATTGGAATTGACAGTAAAACAACATTTATTGATGGACATTTTCTCAAACATAATATTCTCAATTCTCTCAGAAAATTAAATGATTTCCAATTTTCTATTATTTCATATTTATCTAATGTGATGCAATTAAATTTACCATCAACAAAAGATATTGAACAAACTTTTACTCATTTCAAATCTAAACATATCATTTCTTGTGTTGAGTATTTTCCAGAAAGTAAGAAAGGCCAATATCATATTTATTCATATCCATCTAAAATGACACATTACAATGATATCACAAATAAATTTCCAGGTGGAATATTTGAACATGTTCGGACGGTGTCATTATTTGATGAAAAACCATTTGAACATGAATTTTTTCTTCAAATTCAAAAATCATTTCCATTCATGGAAGACGTATGTATTAGAAATAGTAAACCACAAAATCGTAAAGAATTTAATGAAAATTTATCTCCTATTCAATATTCTTTTCTTCGTGTACTTCGTATTTGCAATGTTCATGATGATTATATAAAACAATTTCTCACTGATACGAAGGTATATCTATCAAAAAATATCAATCTTTATATCAAACATGAATCTTTAGAACGAGTAACAAACAATTTTACAAGAGAAGATACACGAATTAATTGTACAAAAGTTGATAAATTATATATACGTGACGAAGGAAAACGTTTAGATTCTTTAGAAAAGTATTTTCCTAATGCGAAAATATTTTTGAAATGAATATGTTTTAAACACAAATGAAAACCATCAAATTGCCTTTTCTTTTCTTATTGACATAGAATTTTGATATCAAGTTGTTTTGATTGAAAGAACTCTTAAAATTTCTTTTTTTTGCTGACAATAATAAAATTGATAATGAAATATGTACATACAGATGTAAAAAGTATTTTTCTTCATTACTTTCACAACTAGAAGACCAAAAGAGACATCTTAAGATAAAAGATCGATACAGAATGGAGAAACGAATAGATGGAATTGGACGAATATATAAACGATCGATATATACATAAATGTACCGAACATACTAAGATATGGTCGTCCGAACAGAAAGAAAATCTTATCAGTACGAATAATGAATTATTCATGCTAATTTCTATTAGGAAATCTTTTAATTTTTAGATTAATTAACAATGGGTAAACAAAGAAATGCAAAAGAAGAATTGATTTGCTTTCTAAATCTTTTCATGAATGCATGAAAAGAAGAGAAATCTATTTTCATGTTCGAACAAGTACGTGATTAATCATCATTTATTTGTGCTAATGGATGATTTTTAGGAGGAGCAAGTTATTTTTTCACTTGGTTTAGGGTCAAATAGACGAATGGTTCTGAATTATGTTTATAACACTCAAGACTTCATAGTGAAAATTAATAAATTAAGTGAGCAAATTACTTTTAGCATGCAAGTACATTAAATAACTTTCTACATAAATACTAAACCATTTGAATAAAATTTCATATCACCTAGAAAAACAAGATAACCATTCCCATTAAGAAAAAAAATGGAAACAACATCTTATGTACCATTCTATGAGAAAACAAATCAGTTTGAGTAAGATTTATTTTATTGAAAAACAAAGTCAATGATGTTTTCCTTTGTAGATTAGAAAATGAAAATGAATTTAATAATGAAGCAAATTCCATAATTAATGAAATTATTGAAAAGATGAAAAATCCTTATGAAGAAGTTGATACATTGATTCAAGTTTTGAACGAACAGAAAGATACTAGTCAAACAGTATCAAAAGAAGATGAAAAATATAAAGAACTTTTAAATTCTTTTAAGTCATAATTCATTATCATCAGATTGTTCTTTCTTTCTTTTTTTTACCGTGTTTTAAATGATGATTTAAAGAAATAATCATGTCACATGAATTTTGATCATCATGGACAGAAACATCAGCGACAAATTGCATGACTCAACCTATTCGCCGAATTGCTGCTGGGATTCCAAATGATTCAACCGAACAAATTTATAGTGATTGAAATTTCTCATATTCGAAGAGATTCTGATTGAACTGAATCAATGTGAAATATGTTCTGTAGAAGTTACAATTGATTATTTAAGATGTTGTTCATCATCGATCTGTTCGAATTGCCTTTATCTTCATTTATCAACCAATATAAATGAAGGTCGAATTCGTATTTCATGTCCGTCATGTTCGTATTTATTTACACGTGAAGAAATTTTATTATTATTAACTAAATATCATTATCAAGGAGTTTCAATTGAACGTTATAAACGTTTTTATGCTAATATTGATGATGAATCACATATAAAAACATGTCCAAGATGTTGTTCAATTAAAGAAATTGATAAAGATTTAGTTGAAGGTATTCGATGGAAGAGAACATTCCACGAAAAGTTCTTTGTAATGAATGTCAATTTGAATGGTGTTTCTTTTGTCATTCACCATGGCATGACAAAATGTCTTGTAAACAATATCAAAAAGGTGAAAAAATGTTTCGATCATGGACTCAACGAATTGATCATAATCAATTAAATGCACAAAAATGTCCTCGTTGTAAAGTAAATTTAATGATACGAAAAACAAACAAGATATAAAAAGATTGTCTTTATTTTTAGATTTATATATCACGAAATGGTGGTTGTCCACATATGATTTGTTCAAAATGTCAATGTGATTTTTGTTATAATTGTGGTCGAAGAAGATTCGCTTGTAAATTCTTTGGTTCACATGAAAGTCGATATTCACCATTAGGATGTAAATATAATTTATATCCTAATAAACCTATTCTTCGTCATACAATACGTGGATTAGTTACTGGTGTTGCAGCGTTAGCAATACCGATTGCAGTTGTTGGTGTAGTTACAGTTTTAGCTGTTGGAACAACAATTGCTGTGCCAAGTTATGGAACATATCGTTTAATTAAACATATTCAATCAAAAAGATATGAACGTCAACAAAGACATCGAATAGAAACAATATCAAGACAGTGGACAACAAGGGATAGTGTTTCAACATTTGTTAATGAACAAAATACAGAAGTTGATGAAATTGAAAGAGCTATTCGAGCAAGTTTAATAACATTTCGAGAAGAAATAATTCGAAGAGAAGAACAACGTGAAATTAATCCTTATTCAATCGGACATTTTCATCATTTCGATCAGAGTGATTTAGATGATGATGATGATTGTTTCGATGAATAATTATTCTGTTTTATATAAAAAATATTCTCATATCTGTTCTTTTCTTTTACTATTAATTTTATACTCTATCTTTTTTGTCTTCGAATCTCAAATGTAAATAATCAGACTAATTGATCTTTCTTTTCATTTACAATTAAAATAAAAGAAGAATTGATGTTTATTTTATGTAAATAATATTCTCAAATAAAATCATAAATTCAATTATTAACAAAAAACGACGTATGAAGTAAAATTGTTCATTTTTCTCTTCATATGAACGGAAATTAGATTTTTATAAGAGATTCGAAGATTTATTCTTATTGATAAAAAGTCACAGTGTAAATTCAAAATTATAAACTTATCGATTCGGGAATTATTATTCTATACAATATAACAATTCCTATTAATTTATTATCTATTATATTTATTTTGATACGATTTGCCTTTCAGTTGTCTTTGTTTTCATTTTAACTATAAGTATGTTGATTAGAATGTTTTTCTTCTTCTTCAATCGTCTATTTGTCTTTCTCGCAGTATGATTAAATTGCATCAATGCATGATATAAACCATAGACTATTGAGAATTTTCTAAATATAAATTCGACAATAGCATCAAATATTCGAGTGAATAAGAGAATGATGAAGATTCAAACCTTCATTGTGTCATATTTATTCAATGGAATGAGAATATAAATCTTATACTTTCTTTATTAAATACTAAACAAATTCTAGATTTGAGAAAACAAAATCAAAACAAAAGAATTTTATTTGCATAAAAAATATTGAAGAAATAAGAAAAGAAAAAATTTCATCATTTTCTTCCAATCAAATATTTCTTCATTGATCAATCTTGTCTATAGAAAAACATATTATTGTTTGCATATTGACGAACGATATATCGGTCAAATCGAATGTATATATATATCGATCATATCCTTATTGAATCAGATTAGAATAAATATGGAACATTTCAATATTACATTAAATGATTTACCTGATGAAATTCTTCTCATTATTTTGAAGAACTTGAAAAGTTTTGATATCTATTATTCTTTACAAGGTGTTAATAAACGACTAAATCAAATTATTCAAGAAGAAATTTTTATAAAACATTTAAGTTTTATTAAACGATCTTCAAATAAGTTTATTGATCGACTTTCTGATAAAACAATACTTCATCGATTTTGTTCACAAATTTTACCTTCAATTCATGAGAAAATTCGATATTTACAACTTGGATCAACATCAATGAAAACTATTCTACATACTTTTGATTATCCTAATTTAGATTCTCTTGCATTATTTAATGTTGATGAAAAATCATTTCGAAGTCTTTGTAAAAGTAAGGATATTCAAATTGATTTGTTTTTGAAATATTTTGTTATTTTTCTATGTTTAGGTAAAATCCTTTCAAATGGATTATTCAAAAATCAAATTAAATTCCTTAGTCTTTCATGTTATCGAGATGAAGCTTTGATTGATATGATACCATCAATGACAAAGATATTCCAACGTATTTTTCCTCTTTTTACGAAACTAAGTTATTTATTATTAGATGATCGATATTAGGAAAATTGTGTTCGATTAAGTTTCGATGATCTATTAATTCGTAATTTTCGTTCATCAACACTTTTATATTTGAAAGTTCAAGTACAATTTTATGATGATTGTCTTTATATTCTTGATGGTCGTTTCAATCAACTGCATACACTTATTATTGATGTGTTTAATCCTTTTGATTTAGGCGATGTTGAAAATCGAGTTCGTATTCTGAAGAAAAATCTTTGTTGTTGAAAAAAAATCATTTTGTTTTCTAGGATGATTTACCAAATCTAAAGTACTTTTCTTTTACATGCAATTGGGTGACATCTTTTTATAATCAAACAATTCGTTCACTTCTTCTTCGAATGTCGTATCTTGAACGACTTGACTTATATATTCAGTTCGGAAATAATACAACAATTATTGATGGAAACTATCTCAAGAGAAAAATTATCAATGCTAATACTCTGAGAAATTTACAGGAATTTCGTTTCTCTATTACTTCGCGTATATCTAGTCCAGTACAATTGAATTTACCATCAACAAAAGATATTGAACAAACATTTACTCACTTCAAATCTAAAAACATCATTTCTTGTGTTGATTATTTTCCAGAGCGAAAAGAAGGTCAATATCATATTTATTCATATCCGTATGAAACGAAATATTACAATGATATCACAAATAAATTTCCAGGTGGAATATATGAATATGTTCGTGAAGTGTCATTATTTGATGAAAAACCATTTGAACATGAATTTTTCCTTCAAATTCAAAAATCATTTCCATTCATGGAGATTTTATCCGTGAAGAACAAAAAAGCACAAAATCATAAAGAGTCAAATGAAAATTTATCTCTTATTCAATATTCTTTTCTTCGAGAACTTCATATCTACAATGTTCATGATGATTATATAGAAGAATTTCTTTCTGATAAAAAGACAAGTTTATCAAGAAATGTCAATCTTAATATCAAATATGAATCTTTAGAACGAGTAACAAACAATTTTACACGAGAGGATACACGAATTAATTGTAGAAAAGTTGATAAATTATATGTATGTAAGGGATCAAAACGTTGTAATTTTTTGGAAGAATATTTTCCAAGTGCAAAAATAATTGAGCGATCGAGATTTTGAAAGATAGGTAAAATAGTATATTACATGAAAGCTTTTTTTGTTATAAAATAAAACATTAATTTTCATATGATGGAAAAAATTTCTTAATAAATATGTATGTGTAGTACGTAGCAGGTGAAAATAACTTCTTCTTATTTGATCTTTATTAAAATAAACTTATCTTCTGTCAATTTTATTCAAAGTTAATTCTTCATATTTCAATATCTTGAACAGAATCAAATAGAAATACATTCATAATATTTTATCTTGCATCATTCTCATTAGATCATTTTGGTTTTTCGTTCATTAATATTAAAGTTCTTTGAATTAACGTATTATGCCTGATGGTATTGGACGTATGTTACATGGTCAGGTTCCGTATAATATAAAGCACTTGTATATACTTGCGAATATATATAGAGAGTTCTTTATTATAAACGAACGAAAAAATAAACTGAGAAAGACAAGAGAGAAACGAAAACGTAAAATATAGATATATTCCCTTTTCTGAAAGAAAGGGTTATACAGCGTTTAAATGCTGTGTTAAAAAGCTTAAAGTTTGTCTGTCTGTCTGTCCTATCCAATCAGAAATCAGCATTTCTAAAATCAATGAAAT